AAAAAAAAAAAAAAAAAAAAAAAAAAAAAAAAGGTGTTCATGAAGATAAGACTTCAAAAGTGTCTTTTTTTCCCAAAGGGTATACAAGAGACACATCGTTTCTTGCAATGGTGGTGGATATTGTTCAGGAGTTGAAGCAACAGAATTCTAACCTAGTGTATGGTAAGGATGTGTATTATAATCCTTATAATCCTTTCTGCTTCATCACTACATATGCCCTTCACTTTCATGTTTCACAATAAAAATGCAATTCTGATGTTACTGAGCATGTCACAACCACTTTGTGCTGTGATCTGGCCTGGACCATTTTCGTTTCAGCATTTCTTAAGTGTTGAGGGAGTTGGGTTTTCTACTTTTCTGATTTTTATGCCTTTCAGTATGTTTCTTGTTTCTCCTATGCAAAGGAGAATGTACCTGGAGGACTGTTTCTCTGTATCAAAGGAAACTTTGTAAAATCCCAGCTGGCTGCTGCTGTTCGTAGTTGAGAGACATAGGCTGGAAGTGCTGATAGCTGAAACCTCTCCTTGATTTCCAAGTCAGTCAAAAGCAGGATAGACTCTTCATGTTGCCCTGCCATGGTTTCGTGTTACATCCCAGAAGTGTCTTACTGTGCCTTACAAGCTTCCCAATTTAGCTTAAACTCCAAGGCTTTTTTAACTCTGGTGCCCTCTGCTAAGATTACCTAGGAGCACTCAAAGAGCAACAGACTCTAGCAACTGCTGTCATTAATGTGTTATGTCAGGCTTAAATCTGTGAGAAAAGATTCTCCTCTTTCTTTCCTGACTTGGAGTGTTTCAGGACTTTTGAACATAACTGGTGTAGGCTTGAACTGAGCAAAACATTTAGAGTGACAGGGCAAAAATCAGTGGGGATTTAGTGGGATAAAAAACTGTGAATGATGGTTTGAGCCTGTCATCTTCAGGTTCAGTAAACTGTGTGGTCAGGAACCATCTAGAATGGTTCACAGGATTTGCAAGTTGTAATACTGCAGAGTGTGGTATCTGACTTAAAATTAACAAAGCACAGTTCTCATTTAGAAAAACAGAGCAGAGATATCATTGTGAGCTCAGATTTTGTTGCTTTTTAGCTTTTATTAACAGTGTTTCATTGTCAGGATCTCTAGAGCCTTGTACTAGTAGGTGAAAGCTAAGAACTCTTGGAGTAGGAGAAGAAAGAAACATCTAGCCGTACAGAACAGGAAGGAAGTGGTCAGATGGTGAGAACACAGCTAGTCTTCTAAGATCCTTTATATTTAATAAGTACATTATAATGTAAGGAAAAGACTTTAAACATGTAAAACAAATTGCCCTTTTTTTACTCATAGAAACTTCCTTACATACTGATTGGACTTTGATTTGATACCTTTGGATTTGTATTTCTTTTTTGTCTTGCTAAAAGCTCTTCTGATACAATGAACAATGTTCTTTTTTAAACTACAAGGCTAGGCTGTTTCCATCATCGTTTTGAAACTAGCTGAGGGCACTTGGAATATGTTGGTAATACTGCTGATGATTCAGAACCTGTGCCAAATGTGTGTTAATATTATTACACCAAGTATGAGTTTGTGTACTTTGGCATGGATATTCTTCTTGTTTCATTATAATACACATAATTTTTTAAATGTGTACACACAGCATTTTGATGTGTATGTTTGGCATATATCTTTTTACACTAAATTAAAAATAGGACTCTTCACAGCTATTAGCTTCTCCTATGTTTCTTCCCCACCATACTACTATTCCAGAGTTTTGGGTTGGGGAGTGAAGGGGAGTGCTCTCTGCATTTTCCATAACAAAAGCCCCTTTATTCCCAGCAGTCAGACCCTCTCATCCTCATCGCCTTCAGACATTACAACGTGGAAGCAGGTAGGAGAGGGTGACTACAACCCTCTGGCAATTGTTTAAGACGTTTCAGAATTGGCAGCCACCAGTTAAAAATTTCAGGTTGAGTGTGCTGCAAGAGTTGTGAGTTTATAAGCTATCAGGTGCTCAGTGCTATTACATAGCCACTACTGTTACCTAAAACTTTTCTCTCCCAACAGGGTCTCTATAACTACACCCTATTTCTAAAGCTAGATTTATTCTGTTACAGTGTGCGATCCAGTGATGGGTGACAAATGGAATGGAGAAGGTTCTATGGTTAGTACTTACCTGTTTGAACTCTCTGTGTAGTGAATATTTGCTATATAAACATGTATAAAGATTTATTAGTTTTTAAACACCAGAACTAAGCTACTTTACCTAATCATTGCTTTGGATCCCGGCATCGAGTTTGTGCTTTAATTTCCTGTATTTGAGTACGTTTAGTATCTGGAAGAATGATGGCTGTATAGCCCTGGGATTATTTCTAACTCTCTGCTGAGACAACAGGTGGAATACAGACCCTGTCCACAGGAAAATATTCCCCTGCTCACCCTTCTTGTCTTGCTGGAGTTCCCTCATCTTCTGTGAAGAGCTCTGTTTTGGCTGGTAGCCTGGTTGGCATTGTCAGTGATTGTGTGAATTGACATACCACTTGAACCTAAATGAAGATGACTTATTTCATCTGAGATCCAACAGCTGTTAGGCATTGGATCAGTGACAGAAAGGTCTGTGTGCCAATGCAAGACTGCATACTGACAAAGAAACATTCCTTTTTGATCAAAACTAAAAAATAATTTCCATAAAAATACAATGTGGGAAGACAACAGCAATAATATGGTATTTTATGTTTTCTTTTGCCTTAGCTAGTCATGCACTATAAATTCCTCTTTGTCCTTGTACCTTATTACAGTTTACCTGCTCATAAAGTATCACATGAAGTGGCACTTAGTAGTAAATTTGCCATTGCTCTTGTGTTCTGTTCTTTCATTTTATGTCTATTGCAATATTTATTGTCCTTGGCGTTTTCTAACAAAGCAGAGATCTAGCAGATCTAGTGTCACCTTGCAAAGCTTTAGCTCTTGGGAGAGGGCATAAACCATGGACCTATATATCTTGTGTCTTCTGTGTGGAAGATAAGGTAGATGGAGGAAGAGGAGAATATTTAACATGCAACCCACCAACTCATTCCTGTCATAAGAAACAATGAAGTCATTATTTAAAATGCTTCGGTTTAGATGTGACCTAGTCTTGCATTTCTGTCTAAAGGCAGGGTCACTGTGACATCATCTCTGTATTGTGACTGTATGAGTGAGCTCAGTATCAGTATGATGGGTGTTCTGGTAGCACCTAGTGGTCAACACTGTGGTGGGGTTGTACCTGTGGTTGATATGATTGGAATGGGAAACAGTAACACATGGGCACATGTATACATGCACCCTGCCCTTGTGTAGCATATGAGACCGAGAAAATAAAACATGGACAAAAGGGGGTGTTAATCCTGATTTAGTAAATGGGGTTCTGCCAAAGAATATTAACTACTTGTAAACAATGAACTTTTATTAAAGATAAAGATTTTGTTAAGCTGAGTTACAGCAGAACTGGAGAAGGTGAAGTGACCCCTGTACCCATCTAACCTACTCTCCTGGCTGAGCTCCAGCGTGTGCCAAAACAGCTGATGCTTTTATGCTCTGAGTCTGAAGAACATACAGGCTGGTGGGCTCCTGTTATGTCTTAATGTATATCACCTGCTTAGACAACCAATCTCCCTTTGCTGATGGGCCATATTTAGCTGATGAAGATGGGGTAGAGATGAAACAGACAGGCAGAAAGGGAAGCACTGGCCCTTATTACTTGAAGAACTGATTCTGCAGGCAGCAAAGTATGCTGGTGTTTTGCTAGACTTGGGTGCAACACAAGCAAAATATTTTTAATGTCCTTATCAGAAGTACTTTATAATTTACATTGTGCTGAACAAATTACAAATCTGATTCCTGTTCACACATACTGATGTACAGCGCACTCTAGAAGTACTGCACTGAAAGACGGAGGTGAAATAACTCGTAGCACAGATGTTACTTGTTCCTAAGCCCTACAATGCAACACGATCAATGTGGGCACATGCTGCCATAGCAAAGTAGTTCATTTTGGAGGTAGGGACATGAGAAAGTCTTCTCCATGTTGGCACACTGTATTTCCTCATGCTGCTGAGTCACCTTGGTGAGAGGGAACCCCAAAGTTTGTCATCTAGGCACCACTTCCTTTTAATGCTGCCAGTTAAGGCCTGTCTGCTGAGCAGTGCTTCCTGTTGCCTCCAGCGAAGGAAGGGCTGTTGGGTGTACTGGCAGCAGCTGGAGGGTGCGCTGCCACTTCAGTTTCTGCTGCAGAGCAGTACACTGGGGGCTGTCAGGTTACTTGGTGACAGCATGAATGAGGGTCCCACATCTCAGATGCTGTTGACAACATTTCATACTGTTTCTTCTCCTGTAGTATGTGCCCAAGGATCTCCTCCCAGTCTACAGGGACAAAGTTGTACCTGTTGCTGATATAATTACTCCTAACCAGTTTGAAGCTGAGTAAGTACTTATTTCCTTTTATATCCAAATAAACTTGGGGATAAAAGCAGGGGAGACTGATACCCATTCTTATATTTGTCTCAATACAGTGCCATAATATGTGTGTGTTGGGTTTTTTAACTGTTACTTTCAAGTGGTGCTTTTCAGCAAACCTCCCACTGTTCCATATTGGAACCAATAAAAAAATCTGGGAGTTACGTGAGGAAGATTTTTCTCTTCTTTTCTCCAGTCTCTTATTTTCAGGATTATATCTTGTTATCTCCAGAGGCCTGTATCTAGGGCACATTGGAAAAAATACCTCTCTTCCCTTCCCTGTCTTTACCCATTCCTAGGAAAATTTTTATTATATGTCAGAGTAGCAAAACTGAAATAGTTTGATTCAACCCCCCAAATTAAATTCAGAAATACCACCGTGGCAACACCTCACAGGAGTTAAAAATTGAAATGCCTCCTGCCTGTCCTGACTGCATTAGCTGTGACTCTTTGGTCAGGACATTATCTGTTGTGATGCATCACAGGCTGTACCCCTAAGGGCAGGGAGCAGCTACATGGGAGATAGAGGGACTTGTGAGAGAATTTTATGATACAGGGACCTTTACAGGAGGCAGGTTAGGACTGGTGTGAGTGCACTTCAGAAGCACTGTGTAACTTTTAAAGACAGTAGTCTGTTATAGCAGACCATGTAGCTACAAACTGTTTAGGCCTGTATGGTGGCGGTCCAAGCTTTCCTCCTTTCAAAATATAAACAAAGCAGTCATTGCATGGAGAACTTGTGCTCTTTTAAGATTTCCGTTTCATTCTCAGGTTACTTACAGGCAGGAAGATTCACACAGAAAAAGAAGCTTTAGAGGTAAGTAGGTAAGGGGTAAGATGTGTAAGATCTCTTTCTGTATTTTTGCCTGCAGTTCTGCAGTTTGCCATTTGCCTTTAACCTTGAAGTCACTTTGGCCTCTATCCTTACTCTCCATTAATCATTAAAGCTTGTGCACTCCAGACACAAACCACTTTCTGTTCTAATGTCAGACTTCTGAAGAAACTTCCCAAAAGAACTACAGATAAAGGCATTACAGTGGTAATGAGTAGATCCCTGTGAGCTTGTTTTCCTGCAGTGTAAGAAGGGTAGCAGCAGAACACACGGCAAGTAACCACACGCTTGTCAGCGCTGTGGAAATGCACTTGTTTGGGCTGAAAACACTGGGTGACCCTGGGCATTAGAAACCTGCACGAGTCGCTCCCTCTGCTGTCCACATGTGAGTCGTGCAGCAGCTATGCTGAGTGTTAGTATAGCCGTTTCTCCATCTCCCACAGAATCTTTTCAAGGAAGAGAGCTTGCTAGCAAACTCTCGCAAACATTGCTTGAATACACTCTGAATCTCTTCGTGACAGCGTTTGCTGGTGCTCTGTTTCTTTTCCTTAAATTGATTCAAAGGGGTTGAGACCTTGGTTGCAAAAGGACAGATTGCACAGATGAGAAACCAGACTGGGAGTAATACCCTTTGGGTACTTCCTGGTGAAAGACAGACAAATCCCCAGCATTGATAGCTGCTGTCATCACCATACAGAGATGATAGATGGTCCACAAATATACTGCATTGAGGGGTAAAGATTTACCCTTTTACACAACCTGAAGAAAATAAAAAGCTGCGGGACTTGGTGATGAAGGACAAAATAGGAATATGGTTTTACTGGTGTCTTGAGAAGGGCTGAGCAATTTGTTCTGTTGACTGGTCAAGTGCTTTGATAATGGTCTGATGTTATTTCTTCCAGTTTGGCTTTGAACTTCAAAGGAACCCAAAATCTTAAAACAAACAGCAGCTGTAGTGGCACCCTGGAGAGTAGCTGGGGTCTGTCAGCCCAAGTGTTTGTTGTTTTTTCCCTCCAGCAACGTCATGCGACATGGGTTGATTACTGTTCTTCACAGCAGGAAGCAGCTCCAAAGATCTCAAATCTTTTAATTTCCCCCACACCCCAGTTTTACATTACCCCACTGTGCTGGACAAGGGTGATGAACTGTGCGTTATGCCACCAGCCACTAACTACAACTCGGTTCTTCCATTCTCATCCTCACCCGTCTTGAACCACAGTCTTGAGAACGACACTATTAGCTGAGCAGCCATTAGTTTTAGGTTTGCATATTTCAGCTGCAAACACAAGTTGCATGTGCTGAACAATTTCACAAGTTAGTTTTCTGATACTCTGTCTGATTCATGTGATAGCTCTTATTTGTGATGGGTTTAAAAAAAAAATCTCTTCTACAGAGATGGAATTATATTTAGGAATGGAAACATTTTAAAAATAGTTGCTTGCAGGTTATTATATTTTAATCTGTCTGTCTCCCTGGCTGCATGTCATGTATAGGTCTATCCTTCTGAGTAATTATCCATGCTGGAATTTGTCCCCTTGGGAAATGGTAGGAATTCTGGCATCGATTTCCACAGTGACATGCTTTAATTCATTTCTTTAGCAAGACTAGTGACAACAGTATAGTCTTTTGACATAGAATTAAATATGATTTAATATTAGTGTAGAAAGGGCTAAGTCCTACAACTAGAAATACTGGTGAATTGTGGTCCTTGGTGAATTGTGTCTGAGAAGTGAAACTGAGTTTAATATTACTTCACAGGTTGATTATGTCAGCATATGCTGGTAGATTTACTGCTTCTTTAAAACTCAGTTTTAAAGAAACTGAGATAAGAAATCATAGACACAACCAATGTCTGTGCAAAGAGTTCTGGCAGTTGAAGAAACTTGGAGGCTTAGACAAGAAAGAAAATCAGTAGACAGTTAAAAAATAGCAGAAATAAATCCTTATTATTCAGCTGCTCATGAGTCATAGCTAGCCTGAGAGGATTTTTAGTTAAACTTATTTTATCTTTTTTTTAAATGCTAAACTCATTATTGAAGACATTCTTCTGTGAAATCAAAATCACTTCTGTAGCAACCAATTGTGATGTCAGAAGTAGAATATTAATGAGTTTGTGGAAATACACCTGTGAAAGTACATAATTTACAGGTGTAATGTAGGGTTTGAAACAGAATGAGAAAAGAAGATCAGGGCAGACACACTTGTGCCTCTGACTTAGCTCTTTACCTCTTCATTTTTGCTAACTCTTAAAGTACTAGCTAAATGAGACTTCACGACCTAGAGTTATTGGCTTTCTAGCAAGCATTTCAAGATGCCAGCTGAGGTGCATGTGCCTGTATATTTGTTCTCTTGTTATTTTGATAATATGTTCTGAAAACACAATGCAGACAAAAATTCTGATCACAGCTGAAACAGAGTATTCTTTTCAGAGGAGCATCCAAAGATAATACAGCCAGAGATGTTGTATGTTTTAACAAGAGTGTATGTTTAAATATGGATGTTTTGATTCACTGATTTTAAATTAATTTCCCTAAGTCAAGTGAATTCTTTGAGCGGAAACCATTTTTTTCTCATTACAAAAGATGCCAAATTAAGGTGTTTGTCAAAAATCCTCAGTACTGTGAATGATGCAAGGTTTAATCAACACACATTGCAGTCACTGATTCCTGCATTTTTGCACGTGGAAAGGTAATGGACATGCTCCATGCCATGGGACCAGAGACTGTGGTGATCACAAGCTCAGATCTACAGGCACCTCTAGGAAATAACTACCTAATTGCTCTGGGAAGCCACAGAAAAAGTAAGTTATGATCTCCTTCATTAAGCTGTGCTTTCTTTTAACCTGTCCTGTGCTTTCAGTTACTTTTAAAAGTAGTTTCATCTGACCCATCTGTAATGCATGGAAGGAGCTTAGACTCTTAAGTGAACTTCTCCTACAGTAATATCAGAGAGTGGTAAGAATGGGGCTGCTCCATGAGGGGAGACAAGCTGGGAGGTGAGTGTGATCATAGCACAGGCAGAGCACTGGCCTCACCAACAGGACACAGTATCTGAGTGACATGAGCAGAACAGGGGTGGTAATGGAGAACTGATCCCACTGACAGTCCAGTGATCATCAGAGAAAGGTGAGACAGCAAGATCCAAGATTTGTCTGGAGGATTCAGTCAGTAAGTCAGGACGGCAGAGCTGTACACAGGTACACTTGACAACATAGCTCAGGCAAGGATGCTTGTGCCCAGGCCTGAGCTTCCATACAGCTCCTGGGCAGGTGGGCAGAAGATGCATGAGTGGATGATGTCCTAGATGAGGTGGATCAGGGCTGTTAAAGCCCCTAGTAGTGGTCCTGACATGCAGTAGTGGTATAAAGCAGGCACTTTGAATGTTTTGAATGCTTTTTAAAAAGATAAACTGTTCTGTTAGCAGATTGTTCCCCCCCGCCCCCCGATAGGTTGTAAAATGTCCTTCTGCTGCTTCTTTATATCCCCTTCTATACCATCACTGTGTGTTTGCACTGTCACAGAATGAGAAGTGCATGGTTATGTGGGATGGTATATGATCTCATTTTCTTGTTCATCTAAGGGATCTAAATGTGTGCATCACATTCTAGAGTGCTGAGAGACTGAAAAAATCTGATATTTAAACCAGATTCTAATAAGAATCCAGTCAGTTGGGTCTTAGCACTCAGTACGTGCCAGGTCTGGAATAAGTCCGGTCATTTCAGTGGTGATTACAATATGGCACAGGGATCAGATATACTCTGCTGATGTTTACAGCTGCCCTTGTGCCTCCATACAACCCAGAGATACTCTGGGTTATGGTTTGGGATGCCCCATCTAGGATTCAGCAGTCTCCATAAATACGCACTTTCCTGAGCAAGCTGCTGGTGCTGTCTAAATGAAAATAGGTGGTTATCAATCCTTTGTGAAAACGAAGATGCTAGCAACCTGCTCCCTCTAAAGTATGTACAGTATAGAAATTGTAAATGCTATCCCAACTTGGCAAAGTTTTGAAAGGCTGCACCTTTTAAAAGAGCTGGTACAAAGTTTACACTATGCCTTAGTATCTTTACGTTCCAAACGAGAAAGGAATTCAAATCTGGTGATCGTTTTTAAATTATAGTAAATGCTGTTGTATTCATTGCTGCATTTGTTACTTAACTGTCTATCTGTGTTGTAGCTAAAGCAGATGGTACCAAGATGACACAAAGAATTCGAGTGGAGTCTCCTAAAGTGGATGCTGTCTTTGTTGGAACAGGAGACTTATTTGCTGCTATGCTTTTGGCATGGACACATAAGCATCCAAACAATTTGAAGGTGTGGGAGAAGTTACTCATCTCTCTGCAAGTTTAGATAATGTTTCTTTTTTTTAGTTACTTTTAATTTATGACATTATTTAAAGACTCTTCTGTTCTGGCTTTTTTTCCTCACCTCAGAGAAAAAAGCAGAATTCCCCTTTTGCCAAAACATTTTAGCTTGTACAACTTTGGATGATCCCATTTCAATTACATGGATTTTGTAATTTTGCCAAATAAGATGATCTTCTTTCTAGAGAGAGTGAGACTGCGTGCATACTTGTAATTATGTTTTTTACCCACACTTCATAATCGGCACTGGAAATCATTTATCAGATCTATTTTTCTGTTTCGCTCCTTTAAGCACATACAGTCCTTGATATGGATGTATAGTGCCTGAAACTGTGTTTGGGAGAATAAGAGAGTCTAAAATTTTTTTTTCCCGAACTCTGCATTACATTGTTGGCATCCTGTTTGCATCTTGTCAGATATGTTTTTCTCTTAATTAGCAGTGGTTTTGAAATAATAATATTAAACTAGTCAGCTGAAATTTTACTAAAATCTGAATATATTATGTTAATGCAGGTGGCATGTGAAAAGACTGTGTCAGCCATGCAGCATGTTCTGCAAAGGACCATTAAGAGTGCAAAAGGTAATTCATTCAAACCTTGTTTCCTTGTTTTGTCTGGACTTGCATCAGAAGAAACAGTTAAAGAGCTTTCTGGGTTTCCTGACTACAGCCCTTGGTGCAGAAACAGCCAGAGGATTTACGGAATGAGAGCTTTGGTAGTCTTGTCAGTGCATGTTCCTTACTGTGTCCTCCGAGCCTATTTTTGACAACACCCGACTGAAGATGTCACTGTTCAGCTTGTAGTGGGACTGCAGTCATGCTGAAACAGTTGAGGAAATAAATGCTGAGTTTGTCTTGCAAGAGAGCTTCTGTTTCAAGTGTAGCTCACTCACTTTCCCTTTGAATGCATGTTTTTAGTACTGGGAGGGGTTTATCAACTAATAATAAACTGTCTGTTCACTGTGTTGGCCTTACGAGGAGTAATTTTTTTCAGCTTCTCTCCCCTTGGAGTTCCCACATCTTTCAATTCCTAAGGAGGTCCAGATGGAATCTGTGGGTTCTCGGGGCATGTCTGTGTCACTTTCTAATAACAGTAGAGCCATGTTTTTTTCCTGGAGAGAGGTGCAGAACAGGTGTGATAAGAAATCACAGTGCTGACCTGGATCTTCCACCTTGGAAGCCTTTAGCAGGGGGTAGTAAGGGAGACTGGTGGGGGGGAGGAGGGTATTAAAACAGTGGGGTAACAGAACAATGTAAGTTGTTTCTTTTTATACTGCTGTTTTTAATGACATTCTGATGTCATCTTTTTAGCACAAGCTGGAGAAGGAAACAAACCAAACTCAGCCCAGCTGGAACTGAGAATGGTCCAAAGCAAAAAGGACATAGAAAACCCAGAGATCATAGTGAAAGCCACTGTGTTATAAAGGCTGTACGTCTCCAATAACGCACAATGTATTGATGTCCTCATTTCTTTCCTGTAAATTGTAATATTTGCCTTAGATCTGTGACAGAAACCTGACCTTCATGAAATAGTGCCCAGCATAGGCAGATATCCACTCTCAAACATATGTGTTGGCCTTGCTCAGTTTTAAAAACAAAACAGTTAGTGTGCATTGAAGCATATTACCAGGTATCAAAATGGCTGTCAAATTCACTTAGTCTGTGTAATTACCCAGGGCAAGAGAGTACAATGTTCCTGCCTTGCCAAAGATGTGAATTTGCTAATGGAATGCTTGACTGACTGGAAAATATATTTCAAGGTGGCATCTAGTGCCAATAGAGTTGGCTTCATGCTCCCTTTTCCTGGAGATATCTGGTTACCTATTCTGGTATTCAGTATCTCAGCTGCTATGAAACTAAGCAGGGTTAAAACTACACACAAAGTTCTGGTTGTGTGTAGGAGTACTTTGAAGATGTTTGGTGTTTAAGTGACCTTGAGGTGTCATTCATGTTACTGATAACTGCTCCTGTTTCTCGTCTATGAACAGCTGCACAGTTTCAGTTTTTGCAGGTACTGACTGCTTATTTCTAATGTCTGTGGGTACCCACATGATTTTCTTCCAAAAGCTGCTTCAGAAACATCTTCATTAATAAAATAATGTCTTTATTCAGTAGCACTGATTAGAAGTTTATAGTTCTACCTCCAAGGCCAGGTTTGATTCTTTGTTTAGCTTTTAACTAAGGACAAACATTCTGTAAGGACGAAAGAGAAAGCAGCTCTTACCCTGAAAGCTGGCCACCCTAGTTTGTTCTTCATGGGTGGATGTATTTACAAACCACATGGGGTACTTCCACTTAACACTAGTGAGCACTATTGGCAGGCTTATCAATGAACCCGTGTAATAAAAGTAATATTTTTAGTTTAGTAAGGTTTAGTAAGTTACATATGTTTACCAAATGCAGTGAAACATACAAAATCAATTGTTCATAATGCAAGTCCCTGCAGCCTACACTGATTAGAGATAACAGAAATGCGTTGTTGTTATTATTAATGCATCTTTATTTCAAAATTCTGCTTCATGAGGCTTCAAAATGGGATCCTTAATAATTTCAGTATCCTATACATCACAGCTACATATTGTACCAGTAGGACGGATATACTGACAGGTAGTGAGTGACCACTCATACTTCTGTATGATTTCTGTATGGGACTGAGGTTCTTGCCTTTCCCAAGATGAGGTCTAGTATGTTGTTAAATCCAAATTCAGTTGATGAGCTTCACTTGTCTCAGACAGCATAGGGAGGTTAAAATTGCACTTCTGCTTGCAGTACCATGAAGCCAATTTGCATTAGTGGAAAGGGCTGAGTTTTTTATGACTACCTGAGTATGCTCAGGAAACTCACTCTCGGGTATCTCCCAGATACCTTTCCTGCATCTTCCTTATCACACCTGCCTGACTGACAGTGTCACTTGCATAGCTTGGGAGTCCCCAGAAGAGCTGGTTTGGAGAGTGCTTTGGCCACCAAAGTCTTCTCTTATCCCACCAGTTTTGTGGATTTTCTTCCATTATAAAAGTTACTTGGTTTCACCTAGTAGAAAAAAAAAATTATCCTTAAAGTGAATTTTTAGCTGAGTAGACTTTTTTTTTTTTTTCATGGAGTAAGATTTCATAATTAGTACATTTGTGAAATCCCTCATTTTCAGTATCTCTGAAGCAGATCAAATGTAAGAGATGAACATATTTTGCCATAAATGTGAGTCAAACTTCAGACTTTCGCTCTCAACAACTAATACAAATTTAATTTTCTCTCATGAATTTGGCATTAAAAATGGAAAAAAAATCATATCACTTCAATTTTAAGGGGAAAAAAAACCCCCACAGAAATGACCTACAAAACATGACTCTACTGCCACAGTTTTTAGTAACCACTGCCATGAAATAACTTTCTAGCAATAATAATTTTGGTGATGTGAACAGTTGCTAAAATTAGCAGTCAGTAACAGAGATGAGCTCATGGCTGATATCCAACAAGTAAAAAGACATGAACTATCTTAACAATGTGTATATATAGCTGATGGGAAGCAGTGAAGAACAAGGAGCCAGGCTTTTCTCAGTGGTGCCCAGTGAAGAAATAACAGGCAATGGGCACAAACTGAGATACATGAAATTCCATTTAAACATTCAAAAAATATAAGTCACTGTGAGAGTGATCAAACACTGGCATGGGTTGCTCAGAGAGGTTCTGGGGTCTCCATCGTTGGAGATATTCAAAACCTGACTGAACATGGCCCTGAGCAGCCTGCTGTACTTGACCCTGCTTGCCTAGTGGGGTTGGACTAGGTGATCTCCGGAGGTCCCTTTCAGCATCAACCATTCTGTGAAGTACAATGAATTGCCTTTCTCTGCAAGAAAGAAATCTACAAATTGATGCAAATACTTTTTTTTTTCTTCCTGAGACAGAAACTTCCAGCTAGGAAATAGCTCAGTATTAATAATTTGCCTCCTTTTTTAGATAAGCTGCTTGGGCAGTTGTGCCAGGAATACAGTTGCCTTTTTTGAGACAGTTGGCATTGATTAAATAAGTATTGTGTGCCATATTCCAAACATCACATGGAAGTTTAAAAGATAAACTCATAGTTAAGTAGTCTAATTTTATAATCCCTACCATCCTCTTGGGAAGACTGGATCAGCATACTGAACTTCCCTGCCTGTAGATAACATGGTCAACTTTGTGACGTTATGCTTGACACCTTCACCCAGCTGTATCCAGTTTTGCAGCTCCTGTGGGTCACATACAAAAATCTTCAGATGTCCAAGCTTTGAGATCTCTACTGTGTCCCTCAGATTGGCAAGAATTAGATAAATCCCAGGAGCAGTTCACATGGAATAAATGACATGTGATGTCTGCAGTCCCATGGCTCCAGCACAGATCTCAGCTGAGTGTGGAGGTGGCTCCTGGTGCGCTGTGTCCTCTAGCAAGGGCTGTGGCTCACCCCACACCCTCTGCACCAGCGTTCGCTTCATCGCCAGTCACATGACATGTCCCGGTTTGGGAGCTGCCTGGGTCAAAATGAAGGGTGGCCATCCCTGCACTAGTGCAGTGCAAAATTGAGGTGGTTCTGTTGATCCCCTCATGTGAAGAACTGGAGAGGAAGCTCAAAGTTGGCCTTTAAATTTTTTTTAAAGCAGCAATAAGTATACACTGTCAAAATTTGCTGTCAAAGAAGCCCTACTTGTAAGCATGTACTACAGAAAAGCCCTTTTAGTAAGTGTGAGACAGCACAAATTTGGCACTAAAAGAAATAGACTTTCATAAGGGAACTGAGAGAAAGGCAAGGGCTGTTTTTTTCTGAAATAAGCATGGAATTTATGAAACTTAAAGCTACCTTGCAAACAAGGTAAAAACCATAATCAACTGTGATCTTGCAGTAAAAGAGAAAGTGGTGTTTGGAGCAGCTTATACCTGTTGGGTGTGATGTTTTCTCCCTGCTTCAAAGACTAGATTAGTTCAGTAATTCACACGTACCTTAGAATTTCTGACATATCCACATTAAAACAAAAAAGCAAAAACAAAAACCCACCAAAAAACCCCAAACAAAAACCCAAACTCAATTTTGTGCTCAATTTGCAAAAGTTCATATTTTGCTGGATTTTGTACCAATGGGTTGCTCGCTTCTGCTGAAGTCCTGGGAGTTGCTCCTATGATATCTGTTTTAAACTCCCACTGGCCTGATATAAATTAGGTCAGGTTTATGTCTTCAGTGAAGAATTGGGCTTAACAACTCTTGCCAGGAACAAACATCAGAAATAATCTGTAAATATATTCTGTAGCTAACATTTTGTAGTCACAGCAGCCTAACAGGTATTTTTAAATGTCAGGGTATACATACTTAATACTTGGATGCATTTTTATTTGTTCAGAGTTACACAGCGCTTTTTCATGATGTTTGCATAACAAAATTAAAGTCTCAGCACAGTCCTGTTCAATCTTTTATTTCCTCCTCTGCTCCTGCATGTAATATCTGTGTCTATTTCTTAGTTCCTACTATCTTTCTGTGGTGCAGTTGGAAAGTGTCTCAGTATTAAACAGTTGCCCACTATTTATGTAAGGACTTGGAGGAGACTTATCAGGGTTGTCTGATCCACTTGCAGATCCTTAGGTAAAGAAAAATGGTTAGTCTAAACTAGTTTAGGTCCCAAATGATGACAAAAGAACAAGCACTTTAGCTCAGAGAGTAGAGTCAATAACTAATGGATAATCTTCCGTGACCGTCCTAACAGCATGAAAGGTGTCTGTAACCCCCCAGTCCAGCTGGGGACTGCTAACTTCCCTGCCACGCGTACTCCCAAGTGTACGTGTGAAGTTAGCAGCAGAGGACACTTGTAATGCTTAAGAACGTGTACTCATGGAAGCAGTAAATGGTTTGTGTTTGTGTCCAGTCAACTTCCCCACTATTCTTTTTTTTTTTTTTTTTTCTTACTGGAAGTAATTTATATTGAATCCCTTTTTTCTAGAATGATCTTTGCAGTGTACGTGGTCAGCCATTTTGATTACTGCAAGCGCACTCATTTGCAGAGCCATTGTGCAGGAGAGACTAAAAGTTGTTTACAAATGTTCTACTCTATTCTCAGCTCGGATTAGTCTCTACAGGCTTAAAATTCTCACGTACCTCTTTGGGAGACATGCATAAAGACGTTGTGCTAAAACCAATGCTGTTCACGCTCAATATAAAAATTTAAGAAATCTGCAGTACGAATTGTTAATGTTACTGTTTGTTTGCTGATTATTATCATGAGCGGGAAAAATCTATAATCAATGTGTTATACAAAAGAATCGGAGGACCAAGGTTTCCAGCTACTTATACTGCCTTTTTGAGTATCTTAAACTGTGTCTTGATTGGATGGTGTTAATTTGTTGTCTGAGACTGTTATGGTGATTGTATTGATTTATTTTATTTTAAAATATGTGGCAAGGAAGATTGTAATAAAAATATCTACATTTAATATACCGTGCACATACATATTGTTAGATCCTATTTTTGAATATGTTAATCATTTCAGAATTAAACTGAACAAGAACAGTTTGATAGTCTTGCTGAATAAAGTGGATGTTATTAAAGGTTTCCTTAGTTATATCCTAGTACAGAGAAAGAGTAGTTAATGGATGAGTGCACATTTGTGCGCTGTAGTCATCTCCTTGTAAGATAGTAGGTGTGTGGAAGTAACATCCTTTTTTTTTTTTTTTTTTTTTTATGGGAAGACAACTGCTGGCATTCTGCACCACTTCTCTTGTATGCCTCTTACTTGCATGTGTAGGACCTCTCTGTCTTGTGCTCTTTATTTCTGCACACACGGTGGGAAGAAGGGCTTGGAATAAGAACCACAGCTCATTTTTGGGTCTCTTTCTTGTACAGCATCTAGCTGCACTTTCCCTCACAGAATTTTTATCTTGCTGTGTAGGTTAGAGCATACAAGACTATACAGTAGGAAACAATTGTTCCTGCATGTCAGAACAAGTGCTTCTGTCAGCACTCCACAGCATCTCTGCTATGGCAGTGTTTTGTGAGAGGGAGGGAGCAGGTATCCAGTTTAGTGAGAGCACTGGTTATTGGAGAAGGTGCTACATCATTATGGTTACGCCCACGGGAGAAGTTTAGCTTATATTTTTACTATAGAAAACCACCTCTCCTCAGTAAAGGTCCTTGCCCATTTAAAGAGAACATTTAGAAGCTGAGACGAGTTACAAATTTTGGTCACGCTGAAAACAAACTATTTCTTCATAAATGGAAACACAACCCCTTTTTTATATCCCATTGCAGCCTTATTGCCTCATTGGCTAGTCATTCAACTACTCTTAGAATCACAGAATGTGATTATTCAGAGAGCTGTTTTCATGAAAGGCATTGGCTTCTGGTAAATGAGAGCCTACTGCTGAACAGTTTTGCAGCTTTCTAAAACACGTCCGTGAAAGACATATCAACCATGGAAACTAAGCTTTGAGCTGTTCAATCGCAGCCCCAAAAATAGCTCTTCTCTTTTAAATAAACAAGTAAAACAGCGACTTTATACATGCATGCAGGAGCAGATTTAAGGTAGATGCACGAGGTCCCATCAGAATTTGGAGGAGTGTGCCCTAAGCTCCCAGCAAAGGGCGTTGAATGCAGAATGCAAGGGAGCTGATATTGTCAGCATGCTTTTTCAGGAGAACCCAAGCTAGTTCTCACTTTTTCCAAAAGGGAAGAACGCAATTTGTCTTTCAGCAGCCTAGGAAAGCTCCTGTCTGCTTCACCAGGAAACCAGTGCCAGGTGATCAGTGCTACCCAAACCAGCCCCACCAGCCACCAGTGTGGTGCTTTTACTGCTCCAGCAGCAATGGACCTCGAGGCAGATGGGATGCTCCTAAGTATGGTCCTAAATAAGCAGGCATTGCTGACCCTGCCTCCACAGTGCAAATAATAGTAATAAATCCACAATTTGCAGAGCAGTGAACAAGGCAGCACATTAATCAGATAGAGAAAACCAGCAATATGAGAAGGCTGTGCCATATGTTACCACTGAAATCACGTGTACTCCTTACCTATTGCCCTTGTGGTTGCATTGCTATTTAGAAAAATCTGTGTGTAGAAGAGCGTAATATATGTACTCTGTGTGTGTGTGTTGAAGCTTTATTTGCAGTGTGGTGGGGGTGGGAAACAGAATTTGGGGGCTGGTTGTGTAGGCCTTCAGGATGTGAGTAGAAGGTCTTAAAGAATTATATTTTTATAGATTGTACTGAAGCTTTGGGTCCCAGCCACACATAACCTTTTCTTCCAGAAAAGTAAAATGGTTTGGAAAGAGAGTCAGGTGGCTGTAACATAGTAGGGATAGTACAGCCCCACCAGCCCTGGACAAACTGAATAACTTAATAAAAGATGCCTTTTTAAGTAATATTTTTTTAGTGCTGAATTGTTAACAAAGAAATATTTATGAGCAAACTTTCTATGTACTTACAGTTTGTGTGGTGCTTTGTACTGATTAGGTGGACTTGTTATATGTTTACACATCTTAATGATTGTCCTTGAGGCGTATGTAGTAATTCACTGACTTTTATGCCAGAAAAACAATGAAGTTCTGTGTAATGGCAAGTTATTTAATTTCTAATGACATTGTAGGCTTTTGTAGTGTTTGTGTATTTTTCTGGTTGGTGGTTACGAGTTGTATTCGTTCTGCAGTAAGGCTTGTACGCTTGATTGTAGAGAGAGGCAATAGGATGGTAGATACCATTGTTTAAAAAGAAAACCCTAAATATTGCTACCTTATCCATTATAAAATCAGGTAAGTTGTGGCATAAGCCTGAAATTTAGATTTTGCATTGGAATGAAATAGCAAATACATCTAGGGCAGGTTAAAAATAAGTGAAGGATTTGTTTATTCAATTAATTAAGACTGGGGGAATCTTAAAAATGCTTAACAGCAACATATAAACAGACAAGCCAAGAGACTGGAACGAAACTAGCTCGTTCATGTTTTATGAACCAGCTTGTGCTGAATGCATGCAACAGATAGATGAATAGGCTAAATGGGAGAAAGTGAAGGAATTTTTTTTGTTGTGTAGTTTGTCAGTTGTAATAATGTGAAGAATTTTAGTAGGGTGATCTGAATTTAAATTCATAAATATATTAGCTTTCAGAAGAGTTGAGTTACCAACAAAATCCCATTCAGTCAACAAGCAAGCTGTTAGCATGTTTGAAAATCATTTCTCCATCTTGCTATACTTACTCGAGTGTCTCTTTCTTATGGTGACAAGGGCTAAAGCACAACTGTCCATATACATACATACATATATTTATATATATATATATAAATATAAATATAAATTTTTTTGGTTGTCATTTGGGGGTTTTCTATAAAGTGCAACATAAATCAGTTTGTGGACTATGGTTCTCTGCTGAATGTTGTGCTCCTACCACATCAGTTGGCGATCTGGAAAAACTGAGCATTGTTTATTATGTCTCTTTTAAGAAACATGGCAGCATCCTCACCACGCTTCTGAATAAATCACTACTGCAAAAAGTAGAGGTGAATTTATCATAAGTTTTTCTCTCAAGAGTTTCTGAGTTCTGGGTATTGTTAAAAGAGAAGTACTTCTGCTTTGCTGAGTTAGCAAGAAAAATATCACCGAGATTATTAATGCATTGTTGAGGAGAGAGGCTCCGGAAAGGAACAGCTATGTTTTGCATGCTTCACTGGTCCTGGCTTTTCCTCCCCTGGGGATCTGTGGGTGCAGTATACCCATGGTGTTGGCAGAGTGACTGTTTTGCCTGCACCCTCCCTTGGGGGAAACGCAGAGGAGTTGTTCTGAGCCAAAGCTTTGGTTTAGCACAACTCTGTAAGTGCTTTAAAGTGCATGATGAACAGCACACTGCTTTCCTGGCTGTAGTGTACGGCAGCAGGGGTATTCCTGTTTTAGTAACCTGGTTTAGCCATGCAATTTCCCTAGGCTTCATCTGTAGGCCAGGGAGAACAAGAGACTCTAAAAGTGAATTATTGAGATGATTTAGTCTAAGCTCTTGTTCTTTGGAAATGAAAGGTAGAGAATTATCAGCTGTTATGATAGATCTAACTTATCCAGCTGAGCTAAACCATAAAACTGTGCCCTAACCTTCCTCCCCCATCACTTGTGCTGGCCCTGGTACTTGCCTGTCCCCATAATGAGTGAAGTGAAGGATCTAAAACCAATGGGGAATTTATCCAGCCAAAACCCCTGAAGTTTTCATCCTCTTCAGTTTCCCTAACCATCTCATCCTGGGAACAGGCAGGCAGTTGTGCTGCTGCTAGGGAGGCGCTGGGAAGATGCAGCTGGACAAAATGGTTGAGGATGGGGTTGCATCTTGCAATGCTGGGTAAGCAGAACCTCATTGCAAAGCTGCACTATTAGTGGTAAAGAAAATAAGCTTTTGTCAGCTAAGCACTTGAAAGAAGAGCTGCAGATTTAGTAATCCGAGTTTGGTAGTAATCCAGCCCATCCCCTTTATCGCAAAAAAATTATAGTACTAAAAGATTTTGTGTGACTGTTCTTAATCATCTATGTGATGTTTGTGTCTATCAGAGTAGAAAATAGGATAGAATAAAGCAGTTACCTAACTAGGGAACATAGTAGGAAGATCCAGTTGGAGAGAGTTTCAACTCCGCTTTCACAGCACTTGCATAGTGTCAGAATTATCCAGGTCTGGCTCTTTTCCTTCCTGTCCCCTCTAAGTAAGGAAGAAATCACATAAATAAGTAAGTAAGTAGATAAATAAATAAAGTTATCTGGGAATTTAAGTGGCATTATTATTTATTTCTGCCTACAGATTTTTAAATCTTACCACACCAAAGGTGTCTAGTTCACAAGGGATTTTCGGAAGATGCCTTGCCAAGCAATGTGATACAGCCTGTCACAGCTGGCTTGGAGCACAGCACGCTTCTTGTGATATGCCATGTGACACATGTTGGGATACAACCATCAGATGAGTACTCCTGTCCCGTGGCCTACATTTAGTAGAGCACATGTATTCACATGTGCAGTATATGTGAATTCCCTTGCTAGAGAAGAAAACTGGAGATGTGATGATGGAAGGAAGCGCAGGAGAATTTAGCACCATCCAGTGATCTTTCATCCAACGATCAGTCATTTGCTGTTGGTGATTGATAGTGCAATGTCTCCCTTTCAGTATTTTCTTTCTGGAAGATGGGAGGTGACAGCCTGTGTGCCGTTTTAATATGCTTTTAGCTGGCTGAATGGGAAATATAAATCAAAATGGTTAAAAGTGGAGGGGAGGGACAGCCATGAATTTGCCTAAGATCTAAGTGAGTAGAAAAAAATTGAGATTTGTCTCTAATTCAGAAATAATTCAATATTGACAAAATGAGTGCCAATAATTCAATATTGACAAAATGAGTGCCATGTCTTCAACAGGGAGTAGGAAGAGGCCAATATTTAGGGTTTTTTCCCAAAGCACATTTAGTCCTGCTCTACTATTTAGTGAAAACGCCCAGTGCAGATGCCACCAGAGCCTCATCTCGTGGAGTAACGCTGTAATAAGGAATGTGGTTTTCTTGTGAAAGTCTTAACCTCTTCTTATGAAAATAACACACAACTCAGTATTTTCATGGTGTGTAAGTGAAATGTAATTTTTTTTTCTCAATAAAATACATTTCCTTTCCTAAATGTTTTTGTTTGTTTTGTTTTGGTTTTTTTTCCCCCTTGGTGATGTTCTTTTTCCCCAGTTAAGTAGAAGAGATCAGTCAGCCTTACCAGAGAAGATATAACTGTGGCATTCGCATTCTGGCATTTTCCCCCTCTTGCAAATGCCTCCTGTGAGTTACTCAGAGCTGAGCCTTGTGCCTGACCTGCTGCGTGTTACCTCTCTGCTTGCCTTCCACCTCTGGGAGCTGTGGCACGGGGCAGTGGCCTCTGTAGCCATCTGGCTGGAGCTTTCCTCCTGGGAATCCCGCACAAGGAAATCTCATTCCCTGATGCAGTGCCTTAACGGGCTCTTAACTGACAGTCACCCCCCCACTTCCTGCAGCTCTGGGTAATTTCAATTATTGTGAAGTACGCCTAAAACCCTGAAGGAAAGTATTTAAGCCTGCTTGTGCCAGGACATTTCAAAACCTTACCACGAGGAATAAGGTTAGGCAAACCATGCCTGATTTCTCTGGGGATTTGAGGTATTTAAATAGACTCTGTTTGCAGTTACTGAGGTTTTGCTGGTTGTAAATTATGTGATAAGAATGGGCAGTAAATCTCAGGCCAGTGTCAGAAGGGGGACCAGCCTGCCGGCTGCTACTGAGTTAGGTCTCCTGAATGGTCTCCCGAACAGCAGGACAAGAGGAGAGAGATGATGGCAGCTACATGCCTTCCTGATCATGTCTTGTGAGCCTTGATTTATTCAATTATATTTACATGACTAATCCAGACACTTTCTGAATGCTAATTTGAGGTGTAGGTGTGCTCTTGAATGATCAGTGTGTCCCCCTGCTAATGATCTGAGTACATCCATCATCACAGGACAGAACAAAATGGGAGACTAGACTAGACTATTTCAGTTGGAAGGGACCTACAGCAATCATCTGGTCCAACTGCCTGACAAGTTCAGGGCTGACCAAGTTGAACTGTGGGGCCCAGAACTGCACACAGTACTCCAGGTGAGGCCTCACCAGTGCTGAATACAGTGGAATAATCACCTCTTTTGACCAGCTGGTTTCACTGTGTTTGATGCACCCCAGGATGCAGTTTGCCCTCTTGGCTGCCAGGACACACTTAGCCAGCCTCCTGCCAACCAGCACCCCCAGATCCCTTGATGCAGGACTGCCCTCCAGCTACTCCTCTCCCACTTTATACTTGTGTCCAGTGTTACTCTGTCCTAGATGTAGGATCTGGCATTTGGACTTGTTATATTTCATCCCACTAATCACTTCCCAGTGCTTAAATCTATCTAGATGCCTCTGCAAGGCCTATTGTCCCTCAAGAGAGTTAACAGCACCTCCCTATTTGGTATCATCAACAAACTTGATAATGCTGCATTCAACCCCTTCATCCAGATTGTTGATAAAGGTATTGAATAGAACTGGCCCTAGAATTGAACACTGAGGAGCTGGTTGCCAGCCAGATGTAGCCCCATTCACTACAACCCTTTGATCCCTGCCCTTCAGCCACGTCGTCACACAGCACACTGTGAACTGCTCATCCCACAGTTGGACAACTTGTCCAGAAGAATCAGTATAAGGACAGTATAAAAGCCTTACTAAAACCCAGAAAAACTGCATCCACTGCCTTCCCTTCACCTACTAGGCAGGTGACCTTATCATAGAAGGATATCAAATTAGTTAAACAGGACTTTCCCTTTGTGAACTCATATTGATTGTGCCTGATGATTGCATTGTTCTTTAAATGCCTTTCAGCAGTATCCAGTATGATCTGCCCCACAATTTTTCCAGGAACTGAGGTTAGACTAACAGATCTGTAGTTCCCTGGGTCTTCCCTCACACCCTTTTTGTAGGTAATAACATTGGCCAGCTTCCAGTCAGCAAGGGCCACCCCAGACTCCCAAGACCTTTGGTAGATGATTGAGAGGGGTCCTGCCAGCTCCTTCAGTACTCTGGGATGAATCCCATCAGGCCTCGTGGACTTGTGAACATTCAGCTGATACAGCTGGTCCCTTACAATTTCAGTGTCCACAAATGGAAAGTCACTGTTCTCACACTTGTGGTCCTCTGACTCAGGTGACCGGGCAGCCCAAGGTCTGTCAATATTATTAAAGGCTGCAGAAAAAAAAAAAAATGCATTGAATGCCTCTACTTTTATTTCATACCTATTAGTCAAATGACCATCTTCAACAAGTATCAGTGCAATGTTTTCTTTAGACCGCCTCTTGCTTTTAAGGTACTTAGAAAAACCCTTCTTACTATCCGAAAAACACTGGCCAGTTTCGACTCTAATGGAGCTTCGGCCTTTCGTGTCTTCTCCCTGCATATATGAACCACAGCTCTGTAATCTTCCTGAAAAGCCTGACCTTGCTTTCAGAGATCATACAATTTCTTTTTTCCTCTTGAGCTTCATGAGTAGTTGCCTGCTCAGCCAAGCTGATCTTCTGCCCCACTTGCTTGACTTATGACACAGTGGAATTGCCTTCTCCTGTGCTTCGAAAAGGTGATTCTTGAAGACTGACCAGCACTCATGGACTCCTAAGCCCTCAAAAACAGATTCCCAGGGTACTCTGCTAAATAGCTCCCTAAATATCCCTGAATAATTTATCCCTGAAGAATTTTGCTCCCCTGAAGGCTGGGGTAGCAACTCTGTTGTCCTTTTTTCTCATTACACTGAAAATTTTAAAGTCAACTATTTCATGATCACTGTGTCCAAGACGACCACCTACCATCACATTCCCCACGGGTCCTTCTCTCTCCACAAACAGCAAGTCTAGGCTAGGAGGGCATCTTTCCTAGTTGGCTCATGGAGTACCTGTCACAAGAAGTTATCTCCTATAAAATTCAAGGATTTCCAAGACCTGCTCATCTCAGTGGTATGATATTTCCAGTTGCTATCTGGGAAGTTGAAATCTTCCGTAAGGACTACTGATCCAGAAGTTTCTCCTACTTGTCTGTAGAATAACTGATCGGTGCTTACATCCTGGCTGGGCAATCAGTAGTGGACAACACCTTCTTTGTTTTCCATCCTACTAATCCTCATCCAGAGGCTCTCAACCACATCATCACTGATTGTAAGGGCTGTATAATCAAACTTCTCCCTTACATACAGTGCAACGCCTTCACCTCACCTGCCCTGCCTATCCCTCCTAAACAGCCAAGCATGGGATTCATTCCACCAAGTCTCACTATCACCAATATTGTTGCTCTGGGAGCTGACCAATGCTTCCAGTTCATCCTGGTTTTTTTCTCATACTTCTCAGTTCTCATAAATATGTATTAGGAAGTTGTTTCCTGTGTGTTCTTTGGGGATACTATCATCGGTCTTAGCCCAGCCAGAAAAATTCCTAACCCCAGGCTCCTCCTGAAACGCTCCCTCTCCAAAGCAGGTGCTGCCCCTGCAGGTGCTGTTGTCGGGACTGCCTGACAGCATGGTGACAGTGCCCTTCACTACCAGCCCACACTCCAGTCTGTGCCTGATTTATGGCAGCAGCCTGTCACCACAGCCTTTGGAAAAGATGTGTGTTCAGCCAGTCTGGCTGGCTTCTCCAGCTGACGGCTGGACTGAGTGTGGAGGAAAAGGAATATGGCTCAATTTGCCCTGGCAGCTGTTGGCTCTGGGGAACAGAGATAGGGAACCAGGGGAGGGGGCTGAAAAGGCATTTTCAATGTTTTAGGAGAAAGTGCTGAAGCTTCTGTCTTCTTCATAGCTCTGTCGTCTTCAAAGATGGGCACTGCACCAGCTGGGGCTCTCCCGTGTCATGAGCAGTGGCCCTTTCATATTCTTCTTGTCCTTCTTTGCAATTTGCTTAGGAGAAGCACTGGAGCATGTGCAAAGTAAGGACAGACTTCGGAAGAGTAGTACCTCCTCCTGGGAAAATCTATCAGAACCTCCAGCAGGTCCCTCTGCAGCAGTGGATGCTGCCACGTGCTCTCTCCATTGCCCAGTCCCATCCATCCCACATGCTAGCAATGTGATCTGAGGAGTCCGTGGGGGCTTGCCAGCCTCTGGGGGATCTGCGTGGCCAACATGAGACACACAGCTCTCACGTGTCCTAAAAAAAGGAGTGTCTCCTGAGAAAAGGAGCATCTCATGCGTGTGCAGGAGGTCACCATGGCAGTCAAGCCTTTCCATTAGCCAGCCGACAGCCTGAAGAGCCGAGAGTCCGGTGACAAATGCTGTTCTTGCTGCCTCCTTTGTGGGTGTGAATGCTGCTGTCGTGGTGTAGAGACTGAGCCATCACATTGCTCATCATCTGAGTGGCCTGAAGTTTGGGGGAGGTAGTGAAACTGGCAGGACATGGGAGCTGTGACAGGACCAGGCAGCGAGCGGAAACAAAATGAAAGGAGGAAAAGACATAGGAGGTAGGTGTCACTCCGGAGAGAAGTTCTGGATGTAACTCAGCTTCCTAACAGGGAGTTAAACTCCTACAAAATGCCACGTTCTGCCTTTGAGGTCTGCTCACCCTATTTGTTCCCCAGGAGAGCTGCTGTGGATGAAGGGAGCTGGAGTCCTCACATTCCTGTCCTAGCCACAGACTGAGGCTGCCCAAAGCCAAGCCCCCTCCATGGAGCAGATTGGTTAGCTCTGTCATAGAAACATGGTGGATTTTTTTCCTGTTTTCCTCTGGTAAGTAAGGTTAGTTTCAGACAAAACAG